TGCGTGCGCTCCGGCTGCCTCACCGGCCACGCTGGCTCCGCCTAGCTGCAGCTTGGGCCCCACCCCATGGCCAGACCCCCAGAGCGCCCCTGCAGCTCCTCTCACTCAGACCCTCATCATCCCGCTGCCAACAGACCCAGAGCCTCCCCCAGAAGCCCCTGGACCCTGCATGTACCCGGAGGGGCCCAGGATGCCCAGGGTCCGCTTTGCATCTCTGCACCATTGGGGACCTCCCCTGGCGCTGCATCTGTGCCCCATTTTCCCAGCAGCTCAGGCACTTTCTTCCACGCCCCACCCCCGAAGACTCAGCTCTGTCCCAGTGGCTGGTTCCTTGCCACTTGTGACTCAGGTCTGCCCCGATCCCGAGGGTGGGCTGTGGCCCCCTTAGTACAGGGTCAGGTTGCCTAGTCCTGTCTGGGCCAGGCCAGGTGATGGCGCTCCGCTCCTGGCATCCCCTAGCTGGGTCCTGGTTGGTACAAGGTGGAAATGAGGCATTGTCAAGGTCCCTGCGTGGCCAGCTTCCTGCGTCATGCTCTGAGGAAAGGGTCTTTGGGAGCTATCTGGGGACGAAGTAGGCTTCTCCTGGCAGCTGGGGCTGAGTTGGCCCGAGGTGGAACCCCCAGGGATCAGCACCTGTAATTCCCTGCCATGTCCTTCCAGATAGAGGCCATAGGCCTTGCGCGGGTCAGGGGCCACAGGTCTCTTAGAGAGGCTCTGGGCTGCTGAGGCTCCCTCTTTCTCATGGCAACCTACAAGGATGTTGCTCTTCTGTGGGGCCCATTGCCTGGGCTTCTGGGAGCGAGCAAATGCAGCGGATGGAAGAGCACCCCGTCGGGGTGAGCAGAGGCACCCCTCATCCCCATTGAGCAGTGTCAAGGAAGGCTGACCTTCCCGGCTCGGGACTGCACATCTCACTGGGTCCTAAGGCTGAGCGCCCCAGTGAGGGCTGCCTGGGCATTTTGTTATGACCTGCAGTGTGAACTGGTCAGCAGCCAAGGCCCTGGGGCCGTATGTGAGCGAAAGTTCACACTGCAGCTCCTGGCACTGCAGAAGGTGGCCTGCCTGCTCCAGGGGCCTCCGTGGCCTCCTGGGGGTGCTCTGGAGGAGTGGGTGATGGGCCATCTTCCCCCCACCTCCGCTAGGACTCTGTTGTCCCTGGGGGTACAGTGGCTCTAGGCCAGCGCTCACTCCTTCTCCCAAAAAAGGTCAGCCTCTGTTCCCATTTGTCACCTCCACTCCCTCAGCCCACTCCATTGAGCCCCTATTTTCCCCAACATCGCCCTGTGTCAGATCCGAGAGAACCCAGCTATCCTGTCACTGCCGTGGCCAACTTGGAAATCAGGGGGCGATGGGGACCATGGTTTCTCTCTTGGGGGTAGCGTCCTCAGCCAGGAGGAGGGGTCCCTCACACCCTCTGGGCTAGACCTCCATGTGCTGGCAACGGGAGCTACCGCTCGCTCTCCTGCTTGCTGCCAGCTTCCTGGGGCGCGTCGCTGTGGGCCATGGGCGACACAGGCTCCCGCGGAGTCGCTGTCTCCACGCTGCGCCTTTGCATGTGTGTTCCCTCTTGGTCTTGCTTGGAGAAGTCGTGATCCTCTGTCTGTGTTCGCTCTTGCTGTTCTCTTCCCTTCCCTTCCTCTCCTGTCCCCTCCATTCACCCCACTGGTCGTCTCCCCCACCTCTCTTCTTTTCTCTGTCCTCCTTTCCTCCTCTTCCCAACTCCCTTCTCCACCTGGGAGTTGTTTTACCTGGACCTGTCCTTTCTGTGGCCTGCTGGGGGACTCTCCCAGCTCCCCACCTGACACTAGTAGCACCTCTCTTCCACATTTGCTTTCGTCCTTTTCCTGTTGGTACCAGCTGTGACCTCGGTGTGCGGGTGGTCAGGGAGCATGGATGTGCCCCTTCTCGCCAGGTGAGCCATAAGGAGCCTCCTTTAGAGATGAGCCTCTCCTGAGTTTAAAGGCTGACGCTTGGTTTGCATCCTGACTGCACAGAAAGGCACTATCCATGGTTAGGCGGGGTGGGGGGCTGACTACTGACTGCTGGTTTCCATGGGCTCGGGGGAGAATGTCTCCCTTCCCCGGCTGCAGCTTAGCCATGCGTGGTTTCTCGGGCTCCCTCACAGTGTGTGACCAGGCCGGGGGTTTGCTCTCAGGCAGTTCAGAAGAGGCAGGAAATGCTCTAAGCCACTGCTTCAGCCTTTGGATTGGGGGTAGAACTGTGGACCGTGTGCAGCATCCAGCTCGGGGTATTAAGGAAAGGGCTGTGCAGGTGGATCCTGACATTCCTGTCCTGATGTCTGCCTGCTCCGAGCCCGGTGGCCTTTTCCCTCAGCTCTGGGTCAGCAGAGAGCTAAATGGGCGTGATTTGGACATTTCTGAAAAGAGAGGAAGAAAAGGGGAGCATTAAAATAAATTTTAGGCAATTTTTGGTAGTTCTGAACTACAAGAAACACCAGTGGGTCAGTTGACAAGGGTTTATGAGAAATGGGAGACCAGGAGAAGGGAAGACCTGGACATTGAAACCCGTCTCAGTAATCCCCTTGCTTCCTGGGAGAACGAGGAGCTCAGGTTGCGGCTTTCTTGCATGTTTTAGGAGAATTTAGAGTGTTAGAAAGAGGGCCAGGACCTCAACTTTTTGGACAGCCCAAGTTGGGGTTCTGTTTTAGTGGGGAACCCGAGGGTGTCCTTGCCGCTTTATTGCAGGGTCACGTTGCGGAACTCAGGCTTCCTGTCTGAGACAGCCTCACCTATAGCATCATTACCTGAAAACCTCAGGTCGGCTTGAGGTTGACAGGGGCCGTGGTCACTCTTCCTGAAGAACGAAGGCCATTAGATTCCAGACGGCTGTCTGTGCTGTTGGGAAGGTCTGTTGGAACAGATTTCATGTGATTTTTCTGTATTATTTGCCAAAAATAGCCCCATTTTGCTTTTCCCCCTTCTTCCCTCCCATCCTGGCAGACATTTGGTTTTGTTTTTCCCGGCTCCTTGGGAAAGTGTCCTGGTGGGTCCAGAGCCACTTTCTGTTGTGGTGTTGTGTTTGAATACTGGAGCAGAGAATGTCAGTGACCAACAGAGAGTGCCCCGTGGGGCAGATTTTTTCCTAGGTGATGTGGGAGCAGGGTTTTTCCTCCATGTAGCTTCTATTGTTTTTATTGGGAAGAAGCTTGAAGCGTTAGCCTAATATTCAGAATGTTGGTTCTGTCCCATGGTAAGTAGGTTATCAGACACTGCATAACTATCGTAAACGTGGTTTCCCCATCTGAAAAATGGGGTCCACATAGTCTTTATCTCTTAGGGTTGTACAGGTTAAAGACAGTTATCGTAGAGAACACAGGACAGTGGCTGATGTGGTACGTGGTGAATAAATGCTGTTGACAGAAATGGCAATACGTTGACCATAATACCCTGGCAATTTCACATGGCTTGGAGAATCCCTGGGGATTTTCAGGGCAGCCTGCACCATTTCTCTCATGCCCTAGTGGGTCACTGTGGATAATCCTGGAGAATGAAGTCCTGGCTGTCCATGCACTTCAGACCGTCCTCCGCTTACCTTATCTGGTCTTTTAGAAGAGGCTGGCCAGGCCCAGGAGACAGAGATAAACTGAACAGGCAGACTCATATCTTTGATTTTCCTTTTCGGCAGCATGAAGAAGCCTTAGTCCAGGACGGGAGTGGGACGAGTGCCTCCCATGCATCCTGTCCTAGCCATCGCCAGCCTTTGTCTTTCCAGTTTCCTTCCAGCTTCTCCTGTGGTACAGGATCTCTGTGGCAGACTGCAGGGTTTTTAAGAAGGAAGGAATGGGGAATTGGCATGTTGGGTCTTCCGGTGGTGAGTTGGACTGCTTCTCTGAGATGTGTGTGTGCACTGGTGTGCACATAGATGTGGCCCTGTGTGGACTTCCTGGCTTGGCTGTCACGGGGCTGTGGAGATCAAGAAGTCCTCTCTAACTGGAACTTTGAGGGAACTCCTTGATCCGTGATGGACTGAAGGACTGCAGTATGAGGACTCCCACCAAAGAAGGTGGACTTCATGCCATTGTCAATCGATACAGGAAATCCCAGAGACCAGAGGCTTATCTTGATTTGTCTGGAAGTTTTTTCCTCCCTCTTCCCTGCAAAGATTCCCGTGATGAGAGATGGGGCCGCAGTCCTCCTGTCCTTTGATTTGTTTTTGTTCTGTTTTGTGCTGTCAGGTCACTTGCTGAGCCATGGCGGGTACATCTTGTGTCCTCACAGGTTGTCCATCTTAATTCTTGTAGTCAGAATTTCCCAAAACCGAGTGTGATGGAGATGGGGACAGAGCAGTTGGGGCTGAGGACAGGAGGAATGGATATACCCCCATCTGCCAAGGCCCCTAGAATGTCCCGACGTCCCCAGTTACATCCTCATGCCAGCATGGCCGAAAGAAAGAGCAACCTGCCTCTCTCCCTCCTTTATTCCTCAGGTGGAGAAGAAATGGCATTGGGAACTTGCCTTCTAGATTTCCTTCTTTTATGACTCTTGACAAATTCTCTCCAGTATGCACAGGTTGTCACAGACTGCTTCTCCTCTCTATTTCTGTTGGTTCCCCTTGTTACCTGGGAGGTACAGGCTCCAGTTAAATCATTGGCTATGGGGCCAGCAGGTGGCGTGGTGGTTAAGGTGCTGGACTCCCACATGGCCAACCATGGTTCAAGTCCCAGACCTAGTGACTTGCTTTCTCACTCTCTCTCTCTGTCTCTCTGGCCGTTTCTCTCTGGTGAGCGCATGTGCCCTATAACAAATTAAAATAATAACAATAAATAAAATTAAATAATTCTTTTTTAAAAAATGAAAAAAAAAAACATCCTTGGCTATGTACTAACCATGTAGTTGATCCATGATAATCCTGGAGAATGAAGTCCTGGCTGTCCATGCACTTCAGACCGTCCTCCGCTTACCTTATCTGGTCTTTTAGAAGAGGCTGGCCAGGCCCAGGAGACAGAGATAAACTGAACAGGCAGACTCATATCTTTGATTTTCCTTTTCGGCAGCATGAAGAAGCCTTAGTCCAGGACGGGAGTGGGACGAGTGCCTCCCATGCATCCTGTCCTAGCCATCGCCAGCCTTTGTCTTTCCAGTTTCCTTCCAGCTTCTCCTGTGGTACAGGATCTCTGTGGCAGACTGCAGGGTTTTTAAGAAGGAAGGAATGGGGAATTGGCATGTTGGGTCTTCCGGTGGTGAGTTGGACTGCTTCTCTGAGATGTGTGTGTGCACTGGTGTGCACATAGATGTGGCCCTGTGTGGACTTCCTGGCTTGGCTGTCACGGGGCTGTGGAGATCAAGAAGTCCTCTCTAACTGGAACTTTGAGGGAACTCCTTGATCCGTGATGGACTGAAGGACTGCAGTATGAGGACTCCCACCAAAGAAGGTGGACTTCATGCCATTGTCAATCGATACAGGAAATCCCAGAGACCAGAGGCTTATCTTGATTTGTCTGGAAGTTTTTTCCTCCCTCTTCCCTGCAAAGATTCCCGTGATGAGAGATGGGGCCGCAGTCCTCCTGTCCTTTGATTTGTTTTTGTTCTGTTTTGTGCTGTCAGGTCACTTGCTGAGCCATGGCGGGTACATCTTGTGTCCTCACAGGTTGTCCATCTTAATTCTTGTAGTCAGAATTTCCCAAAACCGAGTGTGATGGAGATGGGGACAGAGCAGTTGGGGCTGAGGACAGGAGGAATGGATATACCCCCATCTGCCAAGGCCCCTAGAATGTCCCGACGTCCCCAGTTACATCCTCATGCCAGCATGGCCGAAAGAAAGAGCAACCTGCCTCTCTCCCTCCTTTATTCCTCAGGTGGAGAAGAAATGGCATTGGGAACTTGCCTTCTAGATTTCCTTCTTTTATGACTCTTGACAAATTCTCTCCAGTATGCACAGGTTGTCACAGACTGCTTCTCCTCTCTATTTCTGTTGGTTCCCCTTGTTACCTGGGAGGTACAGGCTCCAGTTAAATCATTGGCTATGGGGCCAGCAGGTGGCGTGGTGGTTAAGGTGCTGGACTCCCACATGGCCAACCATGGTTCAAGTCCCAGACCTAGTGACTTGCTTTCTCACTCTCTCTCTCTGTCTCTCTGGCCGTTTCTCTCTGGTGAGCGCATGTGCCCTATAACAAATTAAAATAATAACAATAAATAAAATTAAATAATTCTTTTTTAAAAAATGAAAAAAAAAACCATCCTTGGCTATGTACTAACCATGTAGTTGATCCATGGCAGATTTCAAAATCCATCTTGCAGATAGGGTGGAGAAAGAGACAGCGGAATCCACGAGTCTCTTCTCCCAACAACCTCGGCTTTGATTCAAGCTGTGGAGCGTCACTGGATACTTGCTGCAGGGCAGGGGCTGTGTAAGGCTGCCAGGCTTGTTTACTCTGGCCCTCATAATCTACTTCCGCCTCTTCTGTTTCCTTACTTGATCGGGAAAATCCAAGCCTAGTCTGCAGACGGC